TACCAAACATAGTAATTAAATATTCTCCATTCCACTTTCCTATCATTTCATACCAAATACTCATATCAAACACCGTCTGAGGCTTTAATATCATATAAATAATCAATTCAATCCAAAATTTTAAAGTGGTGAGTGAGGATATATTAATAATTTTATATATTTCTAACACACTCATCTACTAAAAAGGAAATAAACAAGAGAGAAGAGAAGAGAAGAAGAAGGAAGAGGACAATTTAAAAAAATAAAATAAAATAAAGGCTTTATATGTTCATACTGGAAAATATTTTTGTGCCAACGCTCTAAATTTGTTTAAAATAAAGTATTTTATGTGTTTTTTTTGTTAAATATCAATCGGTGGACCCAATTAATTTAATTTTGGGTTTGAGCCTTTTTATCCTTTCAGAAATTGTGACTCTTAAGTCTTAAAAAAAATTGTGACTCTTAAGAATCAAATCCTTTACCCTTATAATATGTCAAATTTTAAGGTCTAGCTGGATTGTCACTAGATCAATAACTCTGGAATAAAGAAAGTATAATGTGTATTCATCTTTAAGAAGACAAGAAAAACAAAGAGAACAATTTAAAAATAAAAATAAAAATAAAAATCAAGGCTTTGTATATTCATATGAAAAATCTATTTGTGCCAATGCTCTAAACTTATTTAAAAGAAAAATACATTCTTTGTTGATCTTGTATTTGAGATAATTATATAGTGTTTTTCCTTGTAATATTATAACTAAATACTAATGAGGGTGTTGTGGTTCTAAATTGGAAAAGTTAGAGTAGAAGAAAACTACCTTTTGTCGACCTTGGAGAAGCTATTGTTGAAAAAAAACTCGTGCTATTTTGGAGAGGTTATGGTTGAGGAAAACTACTTCTAACTAGTTTGAAGAAGCCATATAATTAAAGAACACTTACGTATGTAAGTCAAAAATCTTACCTTGAGTGGCAATTGACTAAGGGCTTCCGAGTGATTGTGACCTGGGGACAAAATGGCCCATTTCCACCAATTAAGCAACTTCATAGTTCGAGAGATATTTGGGTTGTCTACTGGGTGGCAATGTATGACATGACCTGTTGACATGACTTGAAGCCAATACAAAATTTTAGTATTCGGATCAATTCATTTTTATTTTGGTGTTGTAATTTGGATTGACAAAAATTAACACAAAAAATACGTATCTTGTCGTGTTGCGTGTTAATCTGCGAACTCAAAATTGATTCACATTAATTTTTTTATAGGTTACTCGTGTCGTGTTGATCCACATAATAAGTAACATAATTTAGGATTTGTAAATTATTTGTGTCGTGTCGTATAATAAAAGATGGGATAAGTATAAGGGAATTATAAATGTTATGTTACTGGAAAAATTAAAACCATTCCTGCACTAACAAAAACCTGTGGATCCCATTAGTAAAAAAAAATGAAAAAACATAATAAAACAATCACCACAATAGATGTATCAGCAGGAAAGATGTTGCTTTTTGCTGCAACAGGATAAAAACAACGCCCTAAGTATAATAACCCAAACATGTAATAATGAATTTAATTATGGATGAAGGAATTTATGATAAATATTGAAGAGAAATTAGATGGCAAGTCTAATTAAAATGAATTAAAAGTCACATTTGTTGAAAAAATGAGTTAGAAATGAAAGTTAAGAGATAAAAATGCAGGTAAATAAAGTTACCCAAAAAGTGAAGATAAAATATAAATATTACCACAAAATATTCTAGACTAATGTGTAAAGTTAGATTGAGACTTAAGTGAGCGGGATAGATAAGTTTATACCCATTAGGATATTTGAAATCACTTACGTACGTGTGTGACACACACACACACACACACACTCTCTCTCTCTCTCTCTCTCTCTCTTTATTTGCTCCCTTTCTCACGCAGACCACTCTTCTCCTAAACGAAGGAAGCTCTCCCATTTTGCTTCATTCATCTCTCTTAAAGACAAGAAAACACTAACCCCTCCTCCATCTCCCTTCACCCCATCTTGAAGCCACAAGAGTTTAAGTGATTTGAGTGAGAAAACCTACCCATTGGAGCCGTGAAATCTAGTTGGAGCTTGAGGGAGAAGTTTCCTTGGCTGAAAGTTTGGATTTCCTTCCTTCTTGGTTGTGGAAGCTCCTAGGTAAGAAGACATAACCCTTTCTGTTTGATTTCTTTGGAAATGGCATGATTTAGGGTTTATAAATTGGGATTTAATGGTATGGATAGTTAGAGAGTGATTTGGATATAACTTCCTTTGTTTAGAATTGATTCTTAATGAAAGATAACAAAAGAAATCACTGTTTAGCTCACTATAGAAAATCATGATTTTTTTGGCTATATGTCAATTTCAAAATTTTGATAACTTGAGTGGTTGGAGGGTTATTTGTAGGTGAGTCCCTTTGTTAAACATGCTTGAGATTGGTTCCCGTAAAAGGAAAAATTATGAAATTGCCATTTAGAACACTTTGATAAATTAGACTCAAAATCAAGTGATATTAAAGTGTGAAAACCTTGGTTTTGTATAGGATTCACGTTGAGTTTATAAATGTGAACATTGATGGATATGTGCTCATTAGTTATAGTGTGAAACCAAGTGGACGAGTGGAGCAAGAGCATGGATTAGATCAAGCTATGGACATTGACCAAAGCTCTTGATTATTTTGGATTAAGGTAAGTATCAACAACGGTTTGACATGAGACTTACATAATGAATATGTGATTAATTGTGATAATCTTCACCTTGAAATATGTGTTGTGAATTGAGTTGATACTCAAGTATTTGTGGAGGACCTTGTTTGGGCTTGAAGCAAGCTTAGGTGAAAGCTACAAGTAAGCTTTCGGTCCTTGGAGTTAATCCTCCGTTGGTTCCACTAGACTCCAAAGGAGGATGGTACTTTTATATGGTATGTGGATATGACTTGCTATATGTTGCTTGTATATGTATGTATGTTTGTGTACCACACAAGACAGTGTTTCCTTGTGTGAGGCATAAGACGATGTTTCTTTATGCATAGTATGGGACGATGTTTCATCATACGAGTACGTTGCAAGATGGTGTTTCCTTGCGTAATTCATACAATTTATATTCTTTGACTAGTAGGATTTATTATTGCACACATTCATTGAAATACATATTCTGATGCATACATGATTTTTATACTTTGATTATGCCTAAAGTGAACTTAGGGGTGAAGGAGCCCTCCAAGGACACCTAGTTTACTGAAATGGTTGATCTCACCCTATTTGGGGATTTATTATTTTAGGTACAGTAGCTGATAGTGCTGAGCATCACATGGCAGGAGGCCACGGGAGAGCTATTACTTGAGATGAGATTTAGATGTCATTTTATTTTGTACATGACATGCTTTACGAATTTCCTTATCTTTGAGATGTATATGTCATGGTATTCTTTCGTGAGCATAGGAGATGTCTATGCCTTGTTAGTAGTATATACATGCTGGTAGTACTGTATGTATAGGTCTATGTTATTTACCTAATTTATGTCTTTTGGTTGGTTGATATAAACATATAAGTAGCTCTATGGACATTATTTTGAAACCTGTTATGTATGAGATAGCCTATGTCATGGATGGCTGGGTAATATGATTTATGCCTTAACTATATTAAACTGTCAACTAGGTTGAAATTATCATGATGAAAATTATTCCCAGTGGTTCGAAATACAGACAAAATGTTGCCCGTTTTATTTTGACCAAAGAAGCTTATGCATTTATGAAGTTTAAAATTTGGTGCGTTAAATATCATATGAATGCTAATTAACGGGCTGCAGACGGGGCGTTACACTCTCTTTTAGTGTTATTAAAATCACCCCAACCTGGTTGGTGAGACTAGTTGAACTGGATCATTAACCGATTCAGTTTAGTCATTTAACCAATCATGCATACAAATCAATTCATAACCAGTGAATCAATTTTTGAAATTTATGGCAAAATATTCTGTCATAATTGTACTTCTGTGATTCGAATTTGACACTAACGGCATGTTTGGTACATAGTATAGGATAAAGCCTGATAGTATAACACTTAATAATATAAGGCATGATTATATAAGGCTTGATTAAATTTTTAATATTATCCAGCGTTTGACATTATATTGTATAAGATAATATATTGTATAATATAATATCATCCAATGTTTGGTAATACACTATATAATACTATATAGGTTAAAAATAAATATTTTTGTCACAATTACCTTTTAATAATGAATTTACATAATTCTTCCACATATATCATATGATATTATTTTTTTATAGAAACATGTTGATTAGTGTGTCCAAAAAAATATATTAATTTTTATAAAAATAAAAATCTCCAATATTTAAAAAAATTATATATTGAAAAATTATTTTTTATTTTAATATACTAATATTAAAATAATATATTAATTATTGAGAATTGCATTGGTTAATACATTAACCCCTTATCAGGCCTAATCCTACTCTCCTAGGCCTGATTAAGTTATGTATCATTTTGATGTATAAAGGGATCCTGCTCTATAAGCTTATACTATACGATGGTCACACCAAATAACTAAAAATGTCGTAACATATAGTATAAACTTATATTATCAGGCCTTATACATCACACCAAATTTAAAGGATGGGGAATGACATGTTAAATACTAAGGCAAATTACTTTAATTGTCATATTACTTCTATTTATATATTTATTATATATTTTTATATAAATTCAATTTATGTGATCTTAATAATGATCAATAACCCATTGACTCTTAGTTTCAAAAGAAAATAACCCATTGACTCAATACCTAACCGAGTTGATCAAGTGTTCGAATTTAATAACATTGCTCTCTAACTCTGATCTTTTAGATTTCTGCTGCTGCGTTAATTTGAAATATGTTTTAAAAGACAAGCAATTATAATATATGTTGTACACATACACACGTAGTATTTCTCATACAAAACTTAATTACAAATCGTAAGAAGTTTAACATTATTCTAAAATAGTGTACCCATAACAATGTCAATTAACGTGAAAATAGAAGTAAACATATTCATACTTCAATAGTATTTTGATTTAGAGCCATGTATCTCCACCTCTCTTTCTCCACAAAGTCTGCATCGAGGAACCTTGAAAGAAAAGCCCATAACCTGTAAATATCTTCAAAGTTTGTCAAGAAACCCAGTGCAGCAGTCACAACAAATATCCCAGACTCTTTCCTACATTTCTTCTTGGACAGGCCCAACCCTTCAACCTCAGATGCTCTAGTTTCTAAGGCCCGTTGCTTCTCTAGTTCATTCTTATCTAAGAACCTCATATTTTTCAAAAATGAGCAACTTAAAGAGATATTGTTCCTATCAGCTAGCTTCTGCACAAGTGCAGGATCAATCTTCTCTCCTTTCCAATCAAATATATTAAATGCCACAGTGTGTCCACGGTGAGAATTTAACTTTGGTCCATAGATCCTAATTAAGGAAAGCCTATTTTCATTATGTGGATGCTGAAGACTCATTAGTGCATTAACAAGCCAATTGATCAGGTACCTGACCCTGGTACTTATCACCATTAGCCCCACTGAATCTGCATGATCTAGTCCTCTACAATCAAAATCCAAGCTTCTAGAACTAGATGAATAAAGGGGTATGCATAACTCCACAATTTCTGATATTGATTCCCCCTTAGACACTTCTTCATTCTCATGCTGTTGAGAAGTTTCAGTAATGACTTTTTCATGGAGCTGAGATTGTTTAAATGCTGGGACAAGGCTTACAATTCCTATGCTTGTAGCATTGCCTGAATCTTCTAGAGCAGAGATACTTGATTTTTTGACAAATAAGCAACCAAAACCTGATGGGTTTTCACCAAAGACTTTGAAAAATGAGCAAACAATAAAATCAGGCTTAAAGAGAGACATACCCAAGGTGTCCATTTCCTTAGGTTTGGAAGCACATAGATCAAGCAAGACAAACCAACCATTTTGTTTTGCCATGGACATCCAAAAATAAGAATATGATGCTCCAGTAACCCTTGAATGAAGTGGGAAAACAAATAGACCTCTCTTTCTCTTTTCCCTTCCACTCATAATCATCTTCTTTAATTTTCTCCACTCGATTTCGAGATTAGGCCATGTGAACTCAGCTGAAGAGATATTCCCTCCTTGCTTCTTGCAACTCTCATTCATCATATCCAATGCCTCGCTCTTATGGTCATACACTGTGAGAAGCTCTCCATTAGATTGAAATTTGAAAGAATCGGCTACAAGTTTAAATGCAGATACCTCATTGGCTATGAAAACCAGGGTGTAATCTTCTTCAGAGATGTTCATAAATGCCATAATTCTTTTTGTAATTCTGGACTCTAATTCTGATTCGTGGCCACCATAGAGTATTTGTGACTGCAAATTCACCGTCTTATAGGATATATCAAAGGATGGTTCTATGTTCGAGTATGGCAATGATGGAAGAGATGATGATGATGATGATGAAGAAGAAGCAATTGAAGTTGTGGGACAGGATCTCTGCTGTTGAGCATAGGAGAAAAGGCCATATCCAGTATAATCGAAACAGGTGTTGGAGATATTCAAGTGATGGTATTCTTGGGCTCGAATTTGATCAACTCGAGAAGTTGTAGAAAATTGAGGGAATCCTTTGATGAAGTTAATATATGATTCGTGCAAAGATGGGAGGGACTCATGGCTTGTGAAATGTGTATATGGGTGAAGAGTGGAAGATGTGGCTGCTATGAGATCATAGTTTGATCCAGTTGCATTATTGACTCTAGACTTGGAACTATTATGGGAATCCTTGGAGGGAAGAAGTGGAGATAGAAAACAGCCATTAAAGCAGGGTTGTGATGCTTCTCCTGCACAAGATCGATTCATTTTGGTTCTTTCATTCAGACTTCAAAACATTGACTAAGTTTTTTTTTTTTTTTATTGCAAATGCTTAATTCATTGTCAGTCATATACATACAGGTTGTCGTGTGGGGTGTTCGACGACTCTTTCATTATCCATTTAACATTTTTTTTTTTTTCATCAACGCTAGCTTTTTGTACAATATAGTGTTGGCTGAGTTGGGAAATTCGTGACATATTTATTGTTGAAAACGTTGATTTAGTTCGTTCATCGCATTAATGGGGTTGGAGATTATTGTTGAAAATCACTATCTAATGTCTAGTCTATAGACAGCAATGATGGCTGGTGCTGGTCCATATATGTGAAGATTTTGTCTCACGGACCTTACCATTAAAGCCCTTCGAAGCCAAGATAAGAAGTGGTTGTGGTGCTTTCTGAAAGGGACAAAAGGGGCATTGAAAGTTTTGAGCTTTAAAGTCATAGTTGTACAGATGTGGATATCAAACAACAAGAGGTAAAGGGCATGGACCGGGTTTTCATAGTTAGCTGTCTGCACAATCACATAGAACCGAGTTCTTGCAAAAAACTACCCTTTCGTTAGCACAATATTTTCCAATTTGCGATTAGACTGGCAGCTTTTACTTGCATGCCCTATACTATACACCATTTGGGGAATATTTTCTATGCAATACTAAAAAGGGAAAAATAATAAAATATGGGAGAAAATAATCATTAAAGTAAGGACACCGTTAATGAGTTATTTTATACCATATTTGATAAAAGATGTATGGAGTATTTAGCACTAAAAATATTTTCCACCGTTCGATCTCAATTTTACGATTGTTTTTATCAAGTCCTTTGGGCTAGTCGCTTATTAAGCAGTTCTGTGATTTGGTAGGAAATTGGTTTTGGAAGTATGGTTAAGGCTTTGTTGGTTAATATAATTCACAGTACACAACAATTAGCAGCCTGTTTAGAACAGTTAGGTACAGCATATCTCGCCGATTATCTATGACATGTTTGGGTTAGTGACTCGCCAAACTAGCTCGTTTAGTTGATCACATACCATGCAAATGCGGGCATTTCGTAAGTTAAGAATTGGGAGGTTTCAGGTTTATATTCATTTTTGATAACCAATTAGCAAATGATTAAGTAGCTTCAGGTTTTGATTAATCACTTACCGAGGAGCATAATTTTCTTTTCTTTCCTTTTTCTTCTTATTTTCGTATCATAATATTTTATTCAATATTTCTATATTTATTTTTCATTGTTAGAGCTTTTTCGAATGTAATTGATTTTTGGAGGCATTTTCAAAGCTAAGCTACTATTCATAGAATTACTTACAGATGCTGCATACATAAAATAAATCAACGACCAAAATTGCTTATGATTAATGATGTCTAAAATCTATTAAATACATAAATTATAAAAGATCATTAATTTTTAACCATACGCCTATATTAGTTATTTTATTTAAATTATTAAAAGGTAATGTGAATCGCTTGTTGGAGAAAAAAAAATTTCTCTAGCTTACCCATAAAAAATTGTGTCACTCTTTTTTTTTTAAATGGTGAGCTCTATACTTGTTGTCTCTATAACATAAAATAACAAGTCTCCTGTAACAAAAGACTTGTATTTCCCATTATTAATTAAGTTCTTCACCTATGTTGCACCAACATCGATACTAGACACAGGATACGACACAATGCGACACTCTGACACGTTAATTCTAAAAATATTATATTTCAACACATTAAGACACTTTTTTGATATTAAATAATTTTTTTAATTTATGTAGTATATATTATATTTAATATTCAATAATTTAACAAAAAAATGAAGCTAAACTTATAATACCAATCAATTTTGCAAAAAAATAAAATAAGATATCCTAAATATTTATATTACATTTAATAAAATGATAATTGTAATCCAACAAATCTAATAGTTGGACTAAAAAAGCAACACAACGCAACTTTTGAATCTTTTTTTGAGTCTCTGCAATGCATGTGAAGTGTCAGACATGACACGTCAGAGCCTTTGAAGTGTTGGTGCTTCATAGTTCTTCACTAACCTACTCAACCCGCCCGGCCCACCTAAATATGGGTTGTGACGGGTGATGGTGGAGGAGGTCAGGTTCACAAGTTGCATTAATATTTTATTATCATTATTATAATGTGTTAAGTGAGTTTTGAGTTTAGGTTTTTTTTATCCATTTATTTTTTTTGTCCCTTACCCCAACATACACCTGATTCCCTTCTTTTATGTTGCATTAAAGAATTGGACATAAATGGTAATAACTTAGTTGGTAGCAAGGGAGCTGAGTAAGTGAAAAGGAAAATGTCTCAGTTCGATCTCCATAGGCCACCTTTGGGAGCGATTTAAATATCTTCATCCCTGACCCATCCCGCACTTCAGATTAGTCTCATAGCGGCTCAAAGAGTCAAATTTTGTGGGGATGCTGGGGGGAGCCAACTTGCCTCAAAAAGGTAATTAGGGTTAGGTTAACTCAAAAAAAAAAGAATCAAACGTTGAGATGCATTGAACAAGCGAACCTTCAGACACAAATGCATCACCAGAAATAGAAGAATTTAGTTGCCGAGCCAACAAAATCAGTTAGCTCGTGCCAAAAAGCCCCCCCCCCCCCAAAGTTTTAGTCTATGCCATCCTTTTATCTGTTTTGCATAGCTGTCAAATTTTAGCCCCTACCAATGCCAAATTCTAAAAAGTTTGAAAACTAGCTATTGCCAAGGCACTAGCTAGCTCCAAAGTGGCTTCACCATTGGAAGAATTGCCGATCGTCGGACATAAATGATGAATTAGGGATCTTATTCTTAATTATAGCTTAAGATTATCGCCATATTTTTTATCATTTTATTTTTTCCCTACATTCAATACCTTTCGTCCCTTTATATTTGACCAGAATTCAAGTGTAACCCACAAAATCTCATATTGGGAAAGAATGTGTTGAGAAATATATAAGTGAAAAAAATTCATAAATTTAACAACTTAAAATTTTGGATTGAGATTTGCTATCAAGCTTATTTATTGTGGTGGAGGCCTTCCTTGATTGCCAATAGTGGTATGATTAGCCTTTGCCAGTCAGGTAATTGGTTGAGCTGAGTATTTAGAGATAATAGTTTGTTTTTGGGTTTGGCACTGGACCTATATTATATAATCAAAATTTGCTCACTTTTGGTTAGTAACCCCATAAATATTCGAAAAAGCTTCCACTTAGGAACACATAAGAATTTGGGTTAATATGTGGGATCGAGCCCAAGACTTGCTCATTCTTGGTTGGTAATCTCATAAATATTCAAAGAAGCTTCCACTTGAGGACACTTAAGAATTTGGGTTAAGATGCGGTGTCAAGCCCATTTTATTATGGGGAATAGTTGTTTAGTCTATTGATAATAATTTTTCCTTACCGTAGACTCTCCCTACCAACAATATTGTATACCACTACACAAAAACTTGTTAATTTTCATAATTTATAAAACTTAATTTTTGCTAGTGCATTTACCTTGTGAACAATTGGTGATGTATTAATAAATCTTATGGTGGTTGATCCACCAACCTCCTGTAAAAAAGGATGAGTTGATGTTTACAACCCAATTTAAAAGAGTGGATTAGCCCTCCTTTGTCCCATATTTGGGGAAATATTTTTCATGGTCCATGATAGGACTACCTAATAACTTGGTGCTCCGTCTTACAACGTCAATTTTTCTTTTTCTTTTTATCCCTACTATTTTTTTCTTTCTCAATTTTATCCTCTCATTTACACTAAGGAACCACCTAAAAAATGGTTGTCCAACCCCCAAGGGTAGCTCAGTTGGCAACTGAGCTCCCAAGGGTTTGTTTGAGGCAGGGGTTCAAACCCTTCTCAAGCAAATTCTTGGAAAATCTTTGGGGGCCAGAGGATGTGCCTCCCTCATCGATTGGGGGATTAGTCTCATCCTTCCTCCGGTAGCGAAGCTCAATGCACCCGCTGTTTCAGTGAGGGGCTAGCCTACTGGGTCGTACCCCGAGGGAAAGGTGACCGGAGGAGGTTGAATGGGGATAACTCCAGGTTATACCAAAAAAAAAAAATAGTTGTCCCGGAGCATAATAAATTAATACTCTCCATATTTGGATAGTTAGAGACAGATTGGCCCATTTTGCCATGATTTTGAAGGTGACACTTCGACGGTACAAAAGAATATTTGGAAGATGATTTTCTCAGTTATAAATATTGGCCTCCTTCATTAAATTTATCATTCCATTCTTAGGGACAAATTCATATAACATCATCTTAGGGCTCGTTTGGTGGACATGATAAGATAATAGTAGGATATGATATGAGGCTGATAAGGGTAGGATATGATATGAGGTTGATAAGCCTATATCATGTCCTGTGTTTGATGAGCACCTGATTAGCAATCTGATAAGATTATGTAGAAGGAGAAAGGAAATAAAAATAAAAATATAATGCAATAAATACAAATATATTAGGTAGCGTGGGGATATATTGGGTATCCAATATTGGTATCCTATCCTGTTGAATCCTAACCCAGCTCCCCCCGTAGGATAAGAAATCATGTATTGGATAGGATAAAATGAGACAATAGGATACACTAATCATATCCTATTGACCCACCAAACAAGAGATAAAAATTGAATATGATAAGTTATCCTATCCTATCTTCTTTATTAGGTGCTCCAAACAGGCCCTTTAATTTAATGTTTATAACATCTTGTATAGAGATAAATATATTCTTCTATATCAAGATAGAGTATAATTGTTCTCTCCTATTATTTAGAGAAAGAATTTTTGTTTTCTATTTCCACCTGTGATTTTTTCTTCTTAGTTTATGGTTTTGTACATTAAATATTTTATCTTAATTTTTATTTTTTTTTCTCATTTCTATTTTAATTGTGTGGTATTCGATTATGCAGCACAATTTTTCTCGTCTCTGACCATTTTTCTCGTTCCAACTTGACTCTCTCCCTTCGAGGTACGTTTCTTTTTTCATAGAATCTACAAGATCATATGCTATGAAGGGCTTCACGCATTATATGACGTTTTAGTGACATGCATTTACACATAATTAAAAATCAACACCCACTCATAATGTCAATTTAGAACTTAAAATAGAAACTATGTATAGGAATTCAGTTTGAGATGAATGATGAAACATACCTCCGATCACATCAAGAAGGCTTTGCGGCTTGTGCCTACGATGTTCAGTAATCCGTAGGTTACATTAATTAAGCAAGAAACAGTTACAGGGCAACTCTCCTTTGGCTGATCATTCGAGAACTGAAATTACACACACACAAAGGGATCAAACATATTATATAATGCGCAAGTGTTCTTGTTTTGAGAGTACTCGAGCGTCTGCCAAAGGAGAGTTGTCCAGCGACTGGTTCGCTTAGTGGTTCTCAAACTCTGTTGAATGATTCGGAACATATCTAGTGGTGGAATTTTTATTTGATTTATAAGGTAGCAGTGTTTATGGAGAGTAAACTACCACATAATAACCATATGTGGTGGCAGATCACAGGCATAAACAAATGACCGTGTAAAAAGGTTCATAAAAGGTTTTGTTTGATATATACTAAGCGAGATAGCTCATGTAGGCATTTATAATGAACTAAAGAAGTAGCATATACTACAGGATATGCTGTCATTCGGTAGTGCCTGCTTTCTACACATTCCATGCAAAGCAAGGCTATCTTTTAATTTCTCTGAAAAAAGATACTCCAATGTTAAGAGATTCTTCACTCGCTTTCTCTTTCTCTATCCTTCCAATGCATGTTCTGGGAGATGGATTGCGGAACACTGTAGAAAAGGGTTTCCAGTCCTGGCCAATGGTGGAGGTCAATTGGCAGAGATGCTTTCTTCCGTTAAAGCATCTCATGGTATATCCCATGTTATATTCTTCTTTTTCTTTTTTCTTTTCTTGATTTTCTTTTTTTATATGTTTTATAATGCTTTCATTTCAATTTCAAGTGATTGGAAATTTAGATCTTGGTTAGCAGTCTGAAAGGTAAGTAGATAGACTATTGTAGATACGTAGACAATTGCATCTTTATGTATTAATTTATTGTTATCATAAACAAGGCCTGAGACTTGGTGTAGAGAGAGAAAGTAAGTTAAACGGAAAAGCCGTTTTGAAATCAAGCAATCAATTATTTATTATATTTCTAATTCTTTACATTTATTATGTTTAGATAATAAATGTATAAATAAATTAAGAATATTTTCAAAACTTTTATCTAGACAGGATTAATTAAAATTACCCTTATTTTCTCTTATGAAAAGAAAACCTAATAATAACAAAGCATACTTATAATGATAAATGCAATAATCACTTGAATTAAAGTATACGTAGCAAGTATATGTGAAATAAGTTTGGGCAAGTAAGGAAACTTTTCTTGATAACATGTTTACAATTGCATTGCTTCATGCTTGGTTCAATATGGTTAGCCTCTGTCTCTTAATAAGAAAATGTCTTGTTGTTGTTTGAATAGATATTATTTGCACCTTGTATTAACAATGCTTTTTATATAGATTTTGATGCATAACCAATCGGACCGGTCAGATGGCTGGTTAATTGGTTTACAAGTTAAACAGGCCAATAGGAGTTTATTCTTATAACATTACTTACTATTGCATAAAGCAATGATCTTATATTAGTTTTTTTGTTGAGCTTAATTTTGACATAATTGTGGAATTTTTAAAAAAAATTTATAATCCAATCATGTTATGACATCAAAAGAACACACGCTGCAGTGTAAGAAAATAAAAAATAAAAATAAAAACCTGCACAAGGAAGTGTTAATATTACTTGCAAAGATTTATCGGCAAGTTCGGTGATGGAAATCTTGTGTGCATAGTTTTTGTTTCCTCAAATTTCACATTGGAAAATGTCAGATACATTTTGAAAAAAAAAAATTCAAAAAAAATAAGGTATGCTTAGATACGATTAAGGGCCTGCTTAGTGTGACGTATAAGACATTGATAGTATAAGCTTATACTATACGTTATGACTTTTTCAGTTGTTTGGCGTGACCATCGTATAGTATAAGCTTATACAGCATAATCCCTTAATACATCAAAATGATGTATAACTTAATACGGCCTAAGGGTGAGGGATAAGGCCTGATAAGAGATTGATGTATTAACACCGTTGACTAATGTAATTCCCAAAAATTAATATATTATTTTAATATTAATATATTAAAATAAAAATTAATTTTTCAATATATTAATTTTTAAAATATTGAATATTTTTATTTTTATAAAAATTAATTTATATTTTGGACACACTAATCATTAAATTTTTATAAAAATTAATATCATATGACATTTTTTGAAGAATTATATAAATTTTTTATTAAAGGATATTTTTATTAAAAATATTTATTTTTATCATATATAGTATTATACAGTGCATTACTAAATACTAGATGATATTATATTATACAATATATTATTTTATATAATACCGTGCTAAACGCTAGATAGTATTAAAATTGTATCAGGTCTTATACAATCAGGTTTTATACTATCAGGTCTTATACTATCAGGCTTTATCTTATACTATGCATCAAACATGCCTTAAAAAAGAGAGATAAAATTATTGGTGTGTTTTTAACATTTCTTCCCTTTCCACTTCAATTAATCTCATGCAATTCATATTACAAATGTTAATGAGATTGGTTTTGTTAAATGAGACACTTAATTGGTTATAAGCCTATAGATAAGTCTTATAATTGTGTTGCCCTTTTTGAGTTTTGACACACTCGATAGAGAGATAATATAAAAATTTATTAATGTGTCTTATTACTATGAGGTTTTAGGTGAGATAGTTGCTTTACAACCCGATCATGGATTCAAATTTTAATGTTCCACTTTCTATTAATAAATTAAATATTATGAAATTTCTTAGCATAGTTACGGGTCTTTCATTACTCATCCTTCAAATTCATTTAAACCCAATAAACTCTTGTATAAAGAGATGTGTTTGTTGAAGTAATTATTTTATCATGATATTAGAGCCTCCGTAATTATGAGAAGTGTTTGGTGAAGTAACTGCTTTACTCTGACAGTTGAGCCATGACCACGGGATCACGAGTTCCGTGAGATGATTGCTTTCCAGAATATAAATTAAGGGATTGTCCATTGTCATGTTACAGGATGATGGAAGAGTTTCCTGTAGTCTACAATTTCAAGTTGGATCCACATTATTTTTTATTTCTCCCTCTCATCTTACTTTCTTGTTTTTGTGCAGGAATGCACATTAACTTTCATGTAAAATAACAAATATAAAACTCATAAATTAATCAAATTTTACTCATTGATGTAATGTCTTAAATATTAGCTAAACATGACCAAGAGGTATATTTCCATCATAATGGTAAATCATTTCACTCATGCAATTACACTAAAAAAAGGTTAATTTTTTCTAAAGTTACTTTAGATAAATTATCTATTTTTCACCATTTTGATTATGTCTTACCGGTAAGGCATAATTATAATAATAACTTTTTTCTCTCGTTAAACATTGTCGGTTGATGTGACAGAGAAAAAAAAATCATTTTAACTATATCTTATCAATAAGACATACTTAAAATGGTGAAAAGCAGATAAAGTTACCTAAAGTAATTTTAGAAACTTTTTTTCCATAAAAAAATGAAAAAGAAAAAAACCCTCGCATTATTCAAAACTATGATGAAACATCCAATTACCCTTGTCTAGTTCCTCGAGAGGTTCCCATATCGAACATTTGGCTGCCGTAGTTATCAATTAACCATCCTTTTCTAATCGAAAGGAAGATTTTTATTTTTATTTTCCATTGTGGTTTCGATTCATCAATTATCGGGAGTGTTTAACTTTAAATTTGCATCATTCTAAGGTTCCTTAATAAACTCTACAAATTAAATACTCATAAGAATTGTTTTGTCCTTTTATACTACTCATCGCTCTGTTTCATTAATATTATCATCAGCTGTATCAAGTCTCCCTCTCAATATTTTGACTCCCATGTACCTGCGCCAAATTGACAAAAAAAAAAGAAAAAAAAGAGAGTCAACCACCATTAACATAAAACAGCTACACACACACACGCACAAATGGGATGGATATTATACCTGCCAAGCATCATTACAGTGGCCTGAGGATTAGTTCCTGGAGAATAGTTAAAGGTGGAACCATCAATAACACGCAGTGCATCCACACCAAGAACCTTATAGTCATTATCAACAACTCTCCCAACTTGGCAGCCTCCATGGTAATGCCATATGGTCATCACAGTGTCTTTGCAGAACTGTTCCAGAGACAATGTAGTATTCGCGTGTTTAGGCAACAAGTTCACAGGGGAACTCGCAGTCATGTTCAGTAGCAGGGACATTGGCATGTTCTCGTATTTGAATGGAGAGAAAGCCTTGGATTCAATTATCTTCTCCACAGTGCTTAAGCCCTTGACGCATCTCTTTAAGTCTCGGGGGTCCTGGAAGTAGTTGAAGGTCACTAACGGGTTATAATTTGGATCACTGTTTTGGAGCTCCAAATGGCCTGTTGAAATTGGACCCATGATTTTCTCAAGTATGAATCCACCTCTGAACGCTGCTTGGTCAAGAGTCTCCATCGATTCTATTGCTTTTGCCAGCGCTTCTGGGGTCCTTTGCTTTGGGGGCACAGTGGAGAGTTGACCAATCTGCATTTTGTTAATTTGTCATGTTATTGTGAACAAATCAAATAAAATGGTGGTTTATTTAAATAAACTTGTACCATATTAATTATGAGAAAAATTATTCTCATGTGACATGTGATAAATTTCTCTCCTATACTTTTTTATAATTGTGCCACATTTTTTCTTTTCTTTTTATTTTTCAAGTGATGGAGCCACAAGTTTATCTCTATGACATTAAATAACTTATCTCTTTTAACATGAGATTAATAAAATCCATTAATTATAGTTAGAAATGAAATAACTGCTATGAAAAACTTTATTCTATAATTATAACTGTGCATCTAAATAATTCTATATCATGGGGTTTTATATGTTTATATCGATGTAAAAATAAAAAAATTTATACCTAACATTAATTATTGATTTGCTTATTTAAATAGGACCAACCATTAAATTAAAAATATAACTTAGACTCGTATAAAATTATCGGGAGCATTATATCAACATCAATAAGAATTATGCAACTACGCCGTGTACCTTGGGGGAGAACATTCCGTAGTCTTTTTTGGAACCGCCGGAAAAGTTTTCACCGCTGGCAGCTTCAATGTAACTGCCGAAGTTGGTGATGCCGACAACCTCAATAAGGGAGACTTCTACGGGGACAGGAGAAGGGACAAAGATGGCGTTCATGGGGTTATCTGACATTCCTTGACCTACAAAAGGCTGGTCCAATGTTACGCTGATGTTATGGGCTTTAAGGTGGTGGGCTGGGCCAACTCCACTCAACATTAGAAGCTGTGGGCTTCCAAGTGCACCGGCTGATACAATGATCTCGTTCTTGGTCCCCTGCTTCAGGTATGCCTTATGTCTAACCCCCGATGCATCCTTGAACACTACACCATGGGCCCTTGGCCTTGATAGACCTGTTGAATTTCAAGATTCACCAATCAATATCCACCAAAATAAGAATGCCCATCTTAAAAACAAAATCACATTTTGTGTTTTTTATTTATTTATTTTTTTGCTCACTTCGCTTCTATTTATTCGAAAAGAATATTAATAATATTACTATACTCAAGTTTAAGCAAGTTAAATTAATTTGAATATATTAAAACAAGAAAAAGCAACTATAAAGGAACTAGAAATAAGTACAAATATCACAACAATCACCAAAGTATAAGCAATGTGCAACAGCCCAAGCGGAACACAAGGAGAAATATTTTAATGGTTAAAAAAAATTATAAAATAACTACTATAAAAAAAAAGTAATACTAAAAAAAAGGTACTATAAAGTATAAACACAAGGAGTAAGCAACAATGCCGATTTCTCACAAAGAATGCAGTTCTCATGGGCTATTTTTTTATTTATTTTTTCATTTTTCCTTTTTTTTAATCATAAAATATCCTTCCTCACGTTCCACGAGGGGTGTTGCACATTGCTTGCTCCCTCTCTAATTTGGTGATTGTTTTGTTATTTGCACTTATTTCTAGTTTCCTTTTCTTGTTTTAGTCTATTCGGATGAATTTCAAATATTTGAACATGAATATTGTTGTGCTAGGTTGATCATTGGCGTGCATTATGACTCAATTCACGTGAATGATATTTTTTCGCTCACTCTTTATTACTTGTGGGACCTATGTTCTACTTGAGATTTTGGGGGCTGTGATTCTAGAACTCATTTGGTTTGAGACTAAGTGTTACACAGAGTGTTTTATGTGTTTTGTATTAAAGAAAAATCAATGTCCAACTAAGACAAAGCCTAGCAAGCAAATAATTTATAACAGCGTAATAATATTACCTTGAACCACATAAGAACATTGGTAAAATCGTCCGTTTCACCAGCCAAAAAGAAAAGAAAAATGAAAGTAGTGACAAGAAGAATCATACCTCCTAACAACGCAAGAAACGAAAGAGCACAGGAATTTCTTTTCTCCTACTACTCTCTAAAACCTTGTACTTACTCTTCGTAATTCCCTTCAGAATTTTGTTAAGCTCTTTCTTTACTAGATTTCTATTGCAACTACTACAAGTGCATTGGTCCACAAGTAATATAATAAGTGAGTAAAGTATTATCCCGTAAGGATTGTACCCAAATACTAATTCACAAGGTCTGATATATATCAAGAAAAATCATAGTAATTTGAAATAGCATTTCGAAAATATTTGAATTAAAACGAAAACAATGAAGAACATACAATAAAGAAAGCAATTACAAAAGAGAAGGGTTGTGAATAATGAGCTGAATAAGTAAGGGTTTCCATTTCCCTAAATTTTTCTCTGTTATTATCGAAAACGATTAAGACATTCGTAACCTGAATTTAGCTTCAGTTAATTTTATTGCCAATTGAATTTATGAAATTCATCAAATTCAGTCACTTGGTCCAAACCTCAATTGAAATCTAAGTTTAAAGAAACAGAAATTCATAAGATTGTACAAGCGATCCCGAATTATATATCATGTGTCGTTCATCTATATCATAAGGTTACCCATTTTTGAGATTGTATGCACCATGTTAGCATTTAATATACAATCTTTGGAATCAATTTATGCGGAGGGCATGAAAACATTAAACACAAAATAAAATACTCAATAGAGAAAAAGAGAAATTGAGTTAAAACAAAATAAAATCAAAATGGAGGAAAGAAACGCACCTTTCGTTGTAAACAAGATCCTATGCACGGTTGCATGCAAAAGCACAGTAATTCCATTGGGGTTGGCATATTCCAAAAGATCAGCAGCAATGTGCCTGTTACCATGCTGGTCAAAGATGGTGCCCCCGACCTTGGTTCCATGAACATGATCATAAGTGAAGCCATTGTTAGGCACCACCCCAATCTCCAGCAATCCATCCCTCACAGCTGATTGCCACTGCTGCACCTTTGGCTCAAACGCCACCTTCTTCTCCACCCATTGGTACGACTCATTTACTGCCCTTCCTTCCCAACCAGCTTCCCTAACAATAACAATCAATGCACACAATTGAAAGTTGATCTACGAACAACCACCGGTTCAAGTGGCGAGTATTGTTCCTTAGGGGAGAAGCTCCTATAATAGATTCAACAGTACTCGAATCGGAATAATCAGGTAATCAATAAATCCGTTAATACATATATGTATATATGAGATAAAATTACGAGAGAAGAGAAAAAAAAAATATAAATCTTACACCTATTATGTCATGTAACGTGGAAACATTAAATCCTGTATATACATATATAATTGAAACTTCTTCATTAATTGATGGACCAATAATACATATATAAATAAAGAAAAAATATGTATTGATCTTTTAAAAAAAGACAGAGATATATATATCAGGAGAAAAGAGAAAAAAAAAAAGTTCACTATCTCTCCTTAATGATTTATTTTTATTTCTTTTAAAAAGACATAATTCCGTGTTCTTTAAAAAAATACATATTTTCTCCATGAGTAAATGTATAAATGTACGTGCTTGTGTGTGCGTATTGCCTACTTGACATAGCGAAGGCTAGCGCGAGAGTAGAATCCAGCGTTCAAACAACTTCCGCCACCAAGAACGCGAGCTCTGTAGTTTATGACGCCGTCTTGGGAGATGAAACGCTGAGAGGGAGAGGTAGGTGATGTATCAGAGAGGCTATTACCGAAGGCTGATAAGTTTGTGATGTTGGGGTTGCCGTAGGGTGAGCCACCGCGTTCAAGCAACAACACCCTGAAATTTTGGGACAGAGTCGCAGCTAAAGGACACCCTGCTGTGCCACCACCAATTACGATGTAGTCGTAGTATGAGATGTTTGCTGCTGAGGTTGCATTGTGCATAAATGTGTAGTTCGGTTCTGTACACAGTCTCACAAACCATGGTTAGATTTCCAAAGAATCTTGAGATGTGTAAAGGTTCAAGACTTCATCTATTAATTGAGTTATATGGGAAACATGATTTCATTTGATAACACAATGAACTAAATGATACAAAAACATTCTCTCCTCTCATATGCGCACATTAATGCATTCGACCATCGACACCAGAGTAAATACTCTAAAACTCAAAAGTCCATTCATCAAGAAACTGATTAAATATTTTTAATTTCAACAAAATTTAATTAAATTATTATTTTTACTCTATTAATGTTCCCTTTCATTTCACTTAACAAATATACCAAAAGATAAAAATAAAATTTTAAAACGTAATTTAAAACAAATCGTTTTTTTGATTTCATTGTTATTTTGTTTATAAATATTTTTATAATTATTAATAAATATTAAAGGAACAAAAAACTTCTTTAAACTGAATAAATCTTATAATTTTGGGAGGGTTATATTTATAAATTTTTTATTTACAAACTACATTATCTACTCTCGAAAATACATTAAGTTACACTATATATTTTCAGGAGTACAAATGCAATTTGTAAAATTTTATAAAACATTTTTTGTAAACGAATCATTCTACTAAAACATTTTAAATGATGTTATAAAAAAAAAAAAAAAAACATTTTAAATGATAATTATTTAAAAAGTGAGAGTATTTACTAACTACTTGTTTCATCCTGCATCTGATCTAACTGCATTTGATTAAGGATCCAAAGAGAGTAGTACAAAGATTTTATGATTACCTTTTTGGGAATGACAAAGTTCAGGAGACAAGAGAACAGAAACTGCAGCAAAAAGTAGCCTCCACCACCAACCACCCATTGCAAGCACAGATCGAAGCACAGATAAACTTCAGGTAACAAGGCCTTGTGATAAATCGAGTTTATGATCCACTGACCAAAACAACCCACTTTCCTATTTATATGAAGTTGCAATCCCAACGGTGTTGGCGGCTTTAAGTTTAACCAATAGAATGATTACTTGCTGCTTTTGACGCTGAAATCTAAAACCGTATATATATATATATATATATATATATATATATATATATATATATGAGGTAGATCCTCTAACAAACACCGGTGTTAAATTTGAAGTTTGACACCTCATTTGAGAACCGTTAGATAAAAAAAGATCAATGGTGTCACATGCTTACAAATTAGAGTCGTTGATCTTTTTTTATCTATGAACTCTCAGATGAGGTGTTAAACTTCAAATTTGACACCGATGTGAAAGGATCATGTCTATATATATATATATATATAGTACGGTTGATGTTGCGGAGACTCCAGTAAATGCAACAGACGAGACCCAACGAGATAATTTGAAGAATAATTCTTTGGCTGCAGAACAGGGTTGGAATTGGAAGATAGCTGGGTTATGTTAAATTAATTGCACCTAATAACTGCCAGTGGCCTTCACGTAACAACATGTTTCATGAGAAAGCATTATAATTTGAAATGTGTTAAATGCGGTGAAATCACACCATCCTATTAATTATTATTATTATTTTATATCCACATTTTTAGACTTGATATTTGTTTTTTTTTTATTTTTTATTTTTTTTTATAGACTTGATATTTCTAGTTAAGGAGGACAAATACCACCTTACCCCTAGAACCAATGATTAATCGTATCATCCTATTAATATTCATATATACGAGAGAGAAATATGTTTAATGTGAGTATTACTTTTATAAAAAAAATGTGTATTACTTCATTTTTAAAATGAAATAAAATATAATAAAAATAATTTTAACTTTTTAAGTAATTACTGTTATAATAAAACTCATATACTTGATTTGATTTGACGATAGTGTAAAACAATCATAATATATAAAAATTAAATCCCTATAAAACCAATATTAAAGTTAATATATATTGTGATCGAGGTGCATAAAAAATGGAACTTAAGATCTCAATTACCACAGAGAAATACTGACGTATGGGCATACTAGATACAAATTAGCGTCACAATCTAATTTGGAGACTCATCAAAGTTTTTTTTTTTTTTGGAGAATTGACTCATCAAAGCTTTAAAATGTTCAATTGGTAATAATCTATTAATCGTTTCAGCTAGCTGTTGGGAAAGATCCATAATGGGATCCAACGACTTTGGTCATAAGTAGTTCAGATTCACTTAATGCATTCTGTGGAAATTTTAATAATATGTCATCTTTTAGATGGACTGAAGTAAAGCCTAGCCAAATTCAGGTAGCTGCATTGATCATAACACTTATGGATACGCATAGCGTACACAAATTTGTGTTGTTGGGACAAGATATCTTGAAGGAGCCTTGGCCATTATTTTTGAGGGAGCCTTGGCCATTATTGAAGGTCACAGTCATACTTATCATTTTCACGTGATTTGATTCATAACTATTTTAAATTTTAAATAAATAATCAAAATCTAGAGCACTTGGTAATGTATTCTGATATCATTTTGCACAATTAACCCTCCCAAAAATTTAAATTACTTGATGAAGAAACATGAATAATTTTATTATACATTCCCTACCGAATATTCATATTAAGTACTAAATTAAGCTTCTTTTGGATAAACAATGCACTATATTAGTTTTTCAGTTGAGTTTAATTTTAATGTAATTGTGGATAGTTTTATTTTTAATGTTATGTTCCAATTAAAAGCACAGTTACTGAAGTATATAAGGAGTGTAGGAGAAAAGAATTTTCCTTGGTTTTTTTGGGTGCTATTATAGGAGGTATGATTCTTTTTGCCTTTACTCTTATTTTATTTTTTTATTTTATATTTTTTGAGTTCATGAAGATGATGTTTTTATGTATGTTCCAATGTGGTTCTAATTAAGTAATGTTACATTCTTATAAATTATTTGCTTGCCTCATTTTGCTTAGGTTGATCATTGATTTTTCTTTAATAAATATATACACTCAATCTTCTGTGTGTAACACTAAGCCTCAAACCAAATGAATTCTCAAGAATTACAATCCCAAAAATCTCAAATAAAATTCAACGATGCATATTTGCTCACTCTAAAAACACGTCGGTCCCATCGAAATAAAGAGTGAAAAATTATTGTCTTCACATGAATTGAGTTGTGTAATGCACGCAAACGATCAACTGGCACCATATGATAATGTTCAAGCCGTTGAAACAATTTTTTATATATATATATATAAACCACAGGTATCCTCAACGGAAGAAAATTATATTTGGAGTGGATACAGAATTAAGACTTTAAATCTCTCCCAAAGATAGTACTGGAAGGATCGAACACATACTCTCAACCACGCCTGCTCAGTTCATATGCGCCTAGGGATGTAAATGGGCTAGGCCGGCCTACAGGGGCCTATGACCAAGCCTATATTAGACAAGACTTGGCCTATTACAAATAGTAAAATAGAACAGGCTTGGACTTTTAAAAAAACTATTTAAAAAATAGGATGTAGCCTTTTTTGTACTTGTCGGGCCTATAAGCCTACATGTGACCTATATCATACTATTTATTTTAAATAAAATTATTATTTTAATAATTTTAAATAATAAAATAATATTATTTTAGTTATTCTTTTAATTGTTGAATATTTAATAGGCTTAAACAGGCTAACAGGCCTAGGGTAAGACTTTTATTTTTTAAATATAGGTCAGGTCAGACTTGTAATTTGGGGCCTACACAGGCTAATAGGTCAGGCTAGACACAATATTTTTTTTACACAGGCCTAGCTTATTTTAGTCAAAGCCTAACCTAGCCCAGCCTATTTACACCCATATATGCGCCAACTGAGCGCCATTGAAACTAATTTTAATATACTAAAACAAGAAGAATCAACTATAACAAAACTAGAATTAAGTGTGGGTTTTTGACCGTATCAATGTTTTTTTTATGGGAAATTATACTTTCATGTTGCATGATATTTGTTAGAGAATAATATAAACCATTAAAGAAGCCATCCAACAACTTAAGCTTTTGAGTTGAATTTGTTCTTTACAAGATTCATCTCTCATGTTACACTCACACAAAAAGATGTGCCTTTTTTTTTTAATTGGTGAGCCCCATTTTATTTGTCGCACAACATATATAAGATAACTTATCTCTTACTACATGAGAGAAGTAAAACCTCTTTTTAATATATTCTACTGATTTAGTTTGTTGATCTAATGTATCACCAAAATAATGCAGTAATTTAGTCACGCATCACTCAGATGCGCGTTTCATATGGCAACAAAAATAGACACACACATATCGGAAGTGCGTCTATCACAAGAGACACGCATAGTAAAAGTGCAAGTCTAAACACGCATCAAGTACAGGTGTGTTTATTGGCAATATTCCAGTCAATCACAATGCTCTTAAATGGTGGTTAGAACGTGTCATCCAAATCTTCTTGTGTCATATAACAAAGGGTGTGCATGACAACTATTCTGTTCCCTGGCACTATTTCTGAAAAAGAAACAATTTTTTTCTATTTCTGTGACTTGGAACAGTTTCAGAGAAAAAATGTGTTCGATAACATGTTCTATTTTAATTCTGAGAATGAGAATTGCGTTTGATAACACAATAAATAATATGATAAAAAATGATTCCTATTAAGCATAATTTTTTTCGGATCATCACTTTCCTTTCCATATGGTGCGGTGGTGGCAGCGGCGGCAGTGTTGGCGTGACGGTGGTGATGGCGGTAGTTTTGGTGGCTGCAGTGACTGCGACGATGGTGGTGGTAATGGTTGTGGTGATGGCGGCGATGGTGGTGGTGGTGACAACAGTGGCTGCGACGATGAGGGTGGGGGTTGGTGGCGGTAATGGTAGTGATGGCGATGGCGTGGTGATGGTAGTAGTGGTGGTGGTGGCAATGGCTGCGACGATGGTGGTGGTAGCGACGGTGGTGACAATAATGGCTGCGGCGATGGTGGTGGTGGTGACGGCAGTGGTTGCGATAATGAGGGTGGTGGTTGGTGGCTGTGGTGGTGGCGTGGTGATGGTAGTGGTGGTGGTGACAGTTGTGACTGCAATGATGGTGGTAGTATGGTGGTGGCGGCGGTGGTAGTGGAGGTGAAGGTGGCATGGTGGTGGTGGTGATGTCGTTGGGTGGAGGGGGTGGTGGCGGTGGCGGTGGCGGTGGCATCTTGGATGTGATGGTGTTGGTGACGACAGCACTGGTGGTACGACGACGACAGCGATGATGGTGACTGTGGTCGTGTCGGGATGGTGGTGGTGGTGGTGGTGGTTATGATGATGGTAGTGATGGAGAGTGATTGAGAGAGACAAATGTTTCTCATTTTGTGCTCGGGAACAAAAAAAATTGAATTTTTTTTATTCTTTTATGTTCTTCAGCACAAAAATTAAACTGGTTCATCAAAGGAACAAAAAAATAAATCGATTTTACCAAACGATTTTTTTATCCATTTATGTTCCTTGAAACAGAAATAAAAATCCGGAAATGTGATAATGCACACCCTAAAACAATTAGATTGCCAAGTAGAAGAATGTTCGAAACGTCTACTTAAATTAACAACAAAAAAATAAATAATAAAAAAGTAGGAGAGAAATTCAACGGTAACTGAATGAAGGTTTTACACAAATTGCAAATGTGATATAATAACTTATGGCCATTTTTTTTATATTCGAGGTCACAAAGAAACGCTTTGAACCTGTTCTATGGAACCATAACGCCATTCAATATCTTCCAAATAATTGTCAATAGTTAATCCTATTGTCTCTGCCAAGATCACTCCTTATCATTCTATTTTTATTTTGTATAGACAAAAGTTGAACCCAATTTAACCAATGATAAGGGTTATTCCAATTGAATTAGTGGTTTTGTGTTAGAGTCCTCGAAAATACAATTGTTTAAAATTTAGTAGGGAGTTTTGCTCCCTATGTGATCCTAACCCTATTTGAATTGGAATAGTCGAATGATTGATGAATAATATTAAAAATAAATTGAAAGACAATTATTTTTTTAATGTTTGGAATGTTATAGTTTATAAAATTAACAAAATTTTCATCTATTACTTTTTAAGGTTAAAGAGGTTTGGATTGGGCCAATTTACGCCAACAAAATTTTGGGTTTATCCGTGACCCGGGTTATCTTCAGACTAATTTTTTTTTTTTTTACTAAAAATACTTTTTAAGCTAAATAGGTGAGCCGGGTGGGTTGATCCTTTTTTATGTCGATGAAGTTGCCAAAAAGTAGTTGATGTAATCGCAACCCATGCTATGTGTGAACAGTACACAACCCAATTTAAATCCCAATTCCGTAAGCCCGAAACCAAAACGGTATGACCCGCCCCTTGTAGATTTATCCGGAGATCAAACGCATATCAAATCCCTAATAAACGTGGACTGTTTTCATTGCACCATCTTATGTGAGTATGGGCTTAGTCCTATTTTTCACATTTTAATTTTGATGAAATGTATAAACTCAAGTATCTTATAAAATTTAACATTTTATTAGATAATGAAAAGAATTGAATTCTAATTAGAGGTAATAAACCACTTAGTTAAAGGTTTTAATACTAATATATGAATGATTTTATTACAAACAATTAACCATTATAGTATGCAATTGCTTCGATTCGATTCATTATTCGGTTGAGCATCACACCCTTATTTCTCCCCTGTCCTAATCAACCCTGCATGTAGCAATGCATGCAGGATACGAGGAAGGAAAACATCATAAATAAAAACTGAGATTTGCCCCCGAATAGTTCCAAAATTTAGCCTCCCCTAACCCCAAAATAGGGAGAAGAAGTGACAAATACAAAATTAAGTAAAAACAATGAAAGAAGATATTTTTGCAGCATCTAAACTCAGAGACTAGCATTTCGTGAGGTCAAGAACTAGCTCGTTAACCAAACTAGTGAGAACCTCGTTTTCCAGATCCAGAACCAATTGTTGTATTCCTTGATCAGTGTTTTTCCACTCTTTACACTTGTCCATCTCCCTAATGTAGACACGCCTTCCTTCCTGCACTTCCCAACCCAAATACAGTTCTTGGGGTTCCCCACTTATCCAATCCTCGGCTATCTTGCAAATGTTAAGCTTCTTTGAATGATCAATATCATTATTTTCCCCAATGCTCTGCTTGAAGTAATCAAACAGCAAGTTCTCTGCTACCTTAATTTTCCAACTGTTTGATGGAATTGACCTTTTAACTAAGTTGACAAGGTCACGTGCATTCTCCTCGATGTTGTCTTGACGCACGTTCCTGTTTCCATTTTGGGTACACATATTTGGCACTAATACTGAACATTGAGTTCCAGAATGGTTGTGTGGTCCATCCTCCAGTTCTGACAATGCGATCCTTTTCTCTAAAACCACAGGCTCCAGTGAAGCCACGCTTTTAAAATGTCGCCTCTTCTGAATATGCTTGTGTTCGGCTCCCGTAACTATATCATATATATATATATACATTTTTCATTTGTCAGATAAAACAATATCTATTTTATGTTGTAAAACTTCATCGAAATTTCATGACAGTTTGTTGCTGAAAGGGAGAGAGAGAGAGAGAGAGAGAAATGACCTTCCATGAAGGAATGAGTAGTGGAATTGAAATGAGACTTAATCTCTTCTTCTTCTTCATATGGGCAATCTAGTACCGATACAGGGCTAAATTGTTCTTTCTCTTTTGGCCAATCCTGTTTCATGAGAGCGAATGTAATAATCAAAAAATTTAATTTAGGAAAAATAAATCCAAGTGTTTCTGGGCACAACTCAATTTTTTATTTTTTATTTTATTTTTGAGCAATCTGATTTCGAGCAGTCAAAGCTAAATAAACAGAGACAATTAGACACGTTAAATCAGATTTTGAAAATGCTCATGATAGAGGAGAACCTAATATACATCAACATATTATAATGTTGACTTTAAACTTTTTTTTGTTACTAGACTATTGACTTTAAACAGTACACCAATTTGATATATTTTCAATTAAACACGTGCGTTACTGATGCTTGTTCACAATTTCATCTATTCAAAAATTACATAAAAAATATATTACTAAGTACTTTAAAGATCATTTAATTTATACTTTAATCAAAAAATAATATGTACAAAATATCAAATCATATCAAACCTCCGTAGATAGTTGCCGCCATGTACAAAACTGTGCGGTAAAAAGCAGCTTTCCCAAACTACCCCATATTTGGATTCAATGGCCAACTAGTGGTCTCCTGTGATCTAGTGTCAATGGTTACAGTGAGTTTCAGCGCCGTGGATGGCGCTTAGTGAACAGCACAGTCTTTGGGAGACTCACCCTAATTAAATGTGTAGTCCCGAACGTACTGCATATCTGCCCTCCTCCCAAAAAAGTACACACTCCGCACGTGCATTGCAATGTCGGTTCCAGTTGTTCCTCCCAAAAATCCTCAAATCCCAAATGTCGTAACCTAACTTTTCTTATTTCTTGGATCTGACTAGTTCAATTCACTTTGCCAAGCTAGTTTGAAATATATATTTTTCCTTCTTTGATTTAAGAGTAAATTTTCATTATCGTATTTAGGTAGTACATACCCTTAGAAACACATTTTTAACACCCCAGCTGTTTCTAACTAAAGTGTGCAGGTATTTAGTAAATGGATTTTATAATTCTCATAGAAATAAAAAATATGTGGGACCCATATGTTAGAAATGATTATATATAAGACTCATGTCAGTACGGAAATCGAAAGGTGTGTAAAAAAATTTTAATTCTCATTTGAATAAGAATTATAAAACTCTTAGTAAATATATATATATATATATATATATATATATATATATCAAATAAAAAAAAGACAGTAGTAGAAGAATTCAATTTGGAAATTACTCACCCTTGTTGATGTTGTTACTCCTTCTATCTTGACACGTGGCGCAGTCTCTTTGGTACCCGTAACTAGGTCGTAATCTGTGGAGCTCTGAGAAGAAGTGGCGCCTGATGAAAAAGCGAATTCGATCTCTCCCCAGCTAAAAGAGGTGGTGGTGTTTGGGGCATTGAATATGGTATCCTCATTCGATGACAACGTCGGGTTATCTCGTTCCTGCATAAGGAGTTCGCGGAAAGATCTCCTCCACCTCGGGGCACCTTTGCTTCCCTCATCTTCCTTGGGAGCTTTTCTCCAGAAGCTTCTGCTCAATAGCTTCCTTGAGAAGCTTCTAGAAAGAAGGCCAGTAGCTTTAGCACTCTGTTGGGACCAGGGCAGTGACTTGATGGCGTTGATTACAGCTTCCGAAGCTCTCTGCAGAGCCCATAACTGGCGTCGAGGGATTGTGTCCCTCCTCTTGCGTTGGCTTTGGATATCTTTCTCAAGGAGGAATCCAACGGTTGTGCAGCATTGTCGGCGCGGGAACGATTTGAAACCGCTCGATGAACACGAGCTAAGGTCGTCCCTCAGATAATCCTTGAGCAAAATATGCCTCGTGGGGTGTTTGCCAGAACTAGAATCCATATATATATATATATATATATATATGCTTGTTTTGGAACAAGAAGCTTTGAAATGAAAAATTATAGAAGAAGCTTGTAGCATGTAAATAGAGCCACACACATAGAGACTGAGATAACTATAGATTGTGATATATAAAGAAAGAACAGAGAGATTTATATATATTGTTGGAGAGCAACACAGCCAGGAAAGACAAAAGAAGGTTCGGAGGTGGAGATCTCAATCTCAAGGGTCTGTGAGATAAAATATTGATTGAGTGGGAAGTAGACAACAATTCAGAGATTGAAGTGAGAGAGAGGCAGTGACAATATCAAATATGAGAATTAAAGTATAAGGGAGAGCAAGAAAGAAGAAGCTTGGATGCTTCTTAATTCATATATTCATAGTGCGTGATTAAATTTGGATCTCAAGGGGGAGAGATTATTATATTATTGGTTCAATTTGAACCTTGCTGTGTATTAAGCTACATGAGTTTATAGTTAAGATACTGCCTGCTTTGGACTACCACTAGACTAGTTGTTGACCCTTTCGGAATTTCTCTCCACGCGCTTAGGCACGTGCTCACATGTCTATGATTTTCTCTCGTTCACTTCCTAGTTCCAACTGCAATCTCATTGTCTTTTTCCTATTTATTTTTATGATCTTCCTCATTGTTGTTCCGGTTTTAAAGTATTTCAGTACACATTTTAAAGGTTGTTTTGTCTGAAATCTGAATCATTAATATTATTTTCATGACAAAAATAACACTAACAATGTGAAAAAAAACCCCCTATAATTTCAAGTGTGCGATTTATACTAAAATTTGTTGAAGAGTATTATCTCTAATTTTAAGCTGCGTGATTTTATTCCAAAACTCCAAAAAGAGTCGGTAGATATACATACAAGCTTTTTGGAACAGTTTTGCTATGAATTCAGGGTTAGCTCACCTTATATAAAAAAAATTCCAAAATAATGTTAACACGTTTACTTATTATAGCTTTTAAGATATCCAATTATGCCTTTATTAACTTCAATAAATTCTTAATAGAGGTGGTGTAAGTATTTTAATATCTTTCAACTACTGAATTGCATTATATGAATCTGGCTTCTAAGATTGTGTCATTGATTATAAGGCCCAAGCCATTAACTACGCACCATTTACTAACTTGAGCATAACACAACTTTAGTCCACTTAAGCATGATCGGATGAGTATCCCTCTTTTGCTCTCATCCGCCACCGGAAAAGATTCTGAAGCAACACTTCAGCCTTTCCAAATAATCCGGACATAACACATGAAGAAAAACATGGATAAATAGAGCTGAATTTAAGTATTTTCATAAAAAGGGATTGCTCCGATGCAGAAAACAGTCACCCTGTTATCAAGCCTATTGGCATGTCTTTATTCATTACTCGTACTTTAAAACATCCATTTAATCTAACCAAAATGTGCGAAGAAAAAATTTTCAACCTTAAATTATGAGCTATATATTACCTGGGGGTGGGGGAAACCTTCATTTGTCCCTTTTTCTTTTGCTTCAACTAATCATATATGAGGTGCATATAGTTCTAATTAATGCTGAAAAACTAAACAACTGATAAAGATTTTCGCTTTGTATGGATTATGTAAAACGCATTTCATGCAGTATATACCATATTGTTGAGTTCTAGATTTAGTTTATGGGTCATGTGTTTGGGCAAGTTGCTTCTTATACAAGCTGCTTAAGGAACACTTAGAGGGAGATGAATAGGTGTTTTGACTTTTTCAAAAAGTTTTTGTTAGTAGATTTTTATTTTTTTTTGATAACATTGTTAGTAGATTTTTAAATTTGTAAAGTCTAGACAAAGTTGAACTATTGAGTTCAATCAGCACACCAATACAATTAGATTGATTGTCCTCAATTTATTTTGGAATTTCAATTCAGATAACATTCACACAATTATAAAAGTGTTACTATTTTATTTAGGGTTCCTTTATGCCCAAAATGAATTTCACAATGCTATATGAAATATAACAGAGAACGCACTTGACCTTTTTATACAGAGTACAAATGCAGCAATAAACTTCCTTACACAAATCAAAAAATGATTAATGTCCAAATATTAGAAAAACAAAGATAATTCTCAGCAGCACTTAAATCCAACAAAACAGAATAGATAACCTGATACAACAATTTTTAATACAACAAAGATAATTTTTATTTTTATGTTATGTATGATATGCAGAAAAGCTTAGATTATGACATATCAAGATATAAAGAGTGTTACAAAAATCTAACCAATATAATGTGCTTCATGAATCTTAAGCTCCATCTTCAATTTAAGACATCTTGCAAACTCTTTGACATCATCAAAAAATATATTCCATAATGCTTAATAGATCTTCACCATGCACACAGCTTTTATTTAACAAACCTATATATGTGTGTCTTGTATATCATCGGAAAATAGTGCGAGGTTCTTTTATCATTGATGAAAATGAGAACTGTTTAACACAATCGTTCTTTATCTATCATGAGAATTACAAAAAATTAAAAAAAAATTAATGCCAACTATTACATAATAATATAAACCACTAAAAAAGCTCTTACCTAATAGCTTAAGATTTTGAGCTAAATTTATTTTTTACATGATATCAAAGATTTAATGACTATGAGATCATATATAAGTTCGATACTTACCCCTCACTTTCTGGTTGAATTAAATAAAATACTAGGTAAATCAAAATTTGAACTTATGCAATATTCATATTTCAAATCCAAAGGTAAATGACAAGGTAAACAAAAAATTGGGCTCGTGCAATATCATGCTTCAATCTCAAAGGACTATTAGTTAAGAGGGTATGTCAGAGAATAATGTAAATCATAAAATAAAACACTCATGATCACTAAAACTTTGATATCATATGAAAAATAAATTTAGCTCAAAATCTTAAGCTATTGGATAAGAGATTTTTAGTGGTTTATATTATCACGTAATAGTTGGCATTGAATTTTTTTTTTTGTAATTCTCATGACAGATAAAGAACGATTGTGTTAAACAGTTCTCATTTTCATTGGGAACTAATATAAATCCCTGCATCGAAAGCCTAAATTGCTTGCGCATCAGATGGTAAAACTCCACAAGGAGACCTCAGCATCAACATCCACATCATTCCAGTCCCTTCCATATCTTACAAAAGGAGACGGAGATCGTAAAGGCTCATCAGCCATACTCCTAAACCAATCATGCAGGTTCTCAAATGCTGCTACCGATGGAACTTCATCCAGATACAGTCCCTGCAAAGGTTTATTATTGACATTTTCAATGACACTGTCACTGCTGCAAACTTCACAATCAGTAACAGCATTCACACTACTCTGCTGCTTGTAACTGTCCTCAACGGCACATGCCTCTGCAGCCTCCGCCGCCACTCTCCGTATCTCCTCCGCATCGGTCGATGCCGGCAAAGGGAACCGCCACGTCGAGTCAGCGAAGTTAAGGCAAGCTGACTTTCCCCGAAGAGTGAGCGCGGCAACATCGTGTGCACGTGCAGCCATCTCAGGAGTTGGGTATGTTCCGAGCCAAATCCTAGTTGATTTGTCGTTGGGAACACGAACCTCGCAAACCCACTTGTTGTTGTTCCTCCGACGCACTCCTCTGTACACGGGGTGCCTTGTCTCCTTGAATATTCGACGCCCCGCACGTTTCTTTGGCCTCGCTGATGCTAATACGATGATTTCTTCATCGGAGTGAGTTGTGATTGGAGGGTTAGATAAGTACCCTGAATTCGACTTATCAAATGATTGTCTGAGAATGTCCATTTGAGTGGGATGTCTGATGTGTTGTTGATGTTTTGGTTTGTTTTGACTGGGAAGTGAGTCACCGTGGAGTATATATAAATATGCATGTAGCCTTTCGAGGCTAAAGTATTGAGATGATTGAATGCACGTGGCTACGATATACACACGGACACGGGAACCGTTGGCTTCTTTGCCCTGTGGGCCACTGAAAGTGTGAAACTGGCTGCCCACGGTTAACACTTGGTTTTGCTCCTTCAAAGGGCAGTACTTGTTTGTCCCTCTCCTTCAGGTGTTTGACAGAGAAAAAGTCGTATTTGTGCCTGTTTCCACCTGTATTCATACAAGATACGAAATACGACACACTGACATATTAATTTAATTTTAAAAAATATTATATTTTTATATATTAGAACACGTTTTGATATTAAAAAATATTTTTAATACATATAATATAATTTATATTTAATACATAAAACAGTCTATAATAAATCATATAACCAATCAAATATTCAAATGGTACAACATAAATATAAAGCAAAAGTAATTTTGCATACCTTAGTAATTTTTATATCAAATTTCGTAACAGAAAAAATTGATTTATAAATTAACTTTTCATTTTTAATTAATAAAATAAAATTTAGACCTTAAAAAAAATGTCAGATGCGTGTTGTGGAGCGTTCACCACGTGTCGAAAACACGTGTCGGAACATGTCAGAGCGTTGATCGCGTGTCGGAACATGTCAGTGTCCGAAAACAAATTTGTTTTTGAAATCGCGTGCCCTTGCATTCTAGACTATAGTCACTAAAAAATTATAAGAGATGGATTTAAATTTGGATTACTCACTGTTCATTTTGTATGTAAATTATTTTCTCTCATATTTAAATATGGTAAACAACCACTCAAACATAGTTACTCACGCACAAGTTCTTTGGAGTTTAAATATAAATATTACATAGGTTCATTTTATTTTTAGCGTTATGCTGAATCAAATTCATAATATAATGGTCACTTTAATTCTAGACTTTGATATCATATAAAAATTTATTTCAACTCAAAAATTTGACCTCATAAATAATGAGTTTTTGATAATTTTATATTATAGTTTTTCTACAAAATATCTATTTATATAATAATTTAAACATGTGTAACACTTGTTTCAACTATAAAAAAAAAAAACTTTTTTGGTTGAAGGATTGTCTCGGTTTCGTTCCCAATTCGTAAGTTGTCAACATGTCACAATTTGTTGTGAATTTTAGTAACACATTTTTTTTTTTTGATACATAATTTTAGTAACACTTTGACCCGACTGCGTCCGCCATAGGTTCATGCCACCTGCAGGCTCAGACTCTTAACGGTTAAGTGAACCAGAGCATAAAACGTGTTTTTAGAAATTACGATGGTGACTACTTGTCCTCTAGTTTAGTACTAGGAATAGAACGGATATATAAGGTCATCATCACACGTTTTAATTATTCAAAATGATTGTCCCACTAAAGTACCATCTTGCGTAGGTTTCACACGATAGAAAAGACTAACTGAAATTAAGTTTGTTAACATTAATTGTTCGCGACTTGCGAGAAAAGAATTCTATGAAATTATCAGGATATTTTTTAGTTATTTTTAATTTTTATTACAATTACCGTATTACAATAAACAATATTTTAGAATTAATTTGTTTGTTCTAAAGCTTATCTCTTAATTTATTGAGTATTATATATTTTTCACAATTTTATTTTATTGATAGCTGATTTTCAATTTTATTTTTAAAATATTATTCATATAATATCACCTATATTTGTATATTTACTTTATTTTATTTTTTTGGTGGAACGTAGTAGATTTTTTGTGGTACTTTTCTTTTTCCATATTTCTAAATTTTTTATTGAATAAATTGTGGCCTGTGTTATCACTTCATTTATAATATTTAAACGCAACTAACCTAAAAGAAGGTTTTAAATAGAGCAATGCTTGTTGTAGGATCACATTTCACCAGTGTCTTATCTAGACTTGGGTGTATGGGTTAAGGCTTGCGGGTCGGCATGTTTGACCCATAACCTGATTAAGAGAAGACATTTTACAGGCTCATTAAAAAGAGAGATTAAGGTTTGGTCCATTTAACCTACAATTTAAATAGGTTATGACCCGTCGTGCTAACTCTGATTTTTTATTTTTTAAACTTTCCTTGTAAAATCATTGCTAATGGGCTAATGGTCCAAGTCAATGCAAAAGGACCAAAATAATTAATAAAAAAGAGCCCTAATTAAGTATTTGAACTTCTACTTGAGGCATTAATTTGTATTACTACATGACTTTTAACAATTATTAGAATGAATTTAAACATTTTGAACTTGCCTCTTAAATTGGATTTTGGATTTGTCATGTGTTTTTTAATGCTTATTTGTATTGTATATATACTGGTCTATGACATGTGCCTTCGCACGGAACGATGGTAAATAAAAAAAATAAAATAATAATAATAATAAAATTACATGTACATTACGTATTATATTGAAATAGAAAACTCTATAAATTAATGTAAAATAGTTCAACAAATAAGACAATTAACTTATTTCAACCTTTCAAAAATTTCTTTGAACATAATGTTTGTTGTAGTATTGGCAACTGTCCATACTGCCATGATCGTCAAGTATTAGAAGCTTTACACCGCTCTTACTTTTAACTCTAGAGAGAGCAACATACAATTGGCCAAAAGTAAAAATTGGTCTTGGAAGATAAATTTCTACATGAGATAAAGTTTGACCTTGACTTTTGTTTATTGTCATGGCAAAGCAAACAACTAATGGAAATTTCCTGTGTTCAAACTTTACAGGGAAGGTGTAATTAGAAGGAGTCAAATTCATCCTTGGAATTAACACAATCTCACCTATGTTATTGCCTGAAAGAATTTTTCCTTCAACAACATGTTCACCAAGTTTTGTACTTGCACAACCCTCTTGATTGATTTATATTCCTCAGAAGCATGAGAGGCACTCCCTTTTTGAACGTCAATCTGTGGTTAGAGAGTCCAGTTCCAGAAAAAAAATGTTAAGTACTTCTGGAGAAAATGCTTCTTCATCAAGGTTTTTATTCCCTTTTGCTTTACAGATATTATCTGAACTAAGATATACCTTCTCTTCACATAGAATTATTGACATTAAGTACTTATGTAACATGCAGACATTCGCTAATGTCGGTGCAAAGATAACATATTCTTCGAAGAAATATGAATTATCCATATTTTTCAAAAGATTTGGATATGCAAATTCTACTAAATCTGAGAGTGGATCATTGGAATCATTGATCAAGATTTCATCTGGGATTTTTATGATAGAGAATCCATCAACATTGTCACCGACGTTGTCGTCGTCAACATAAAGAAGCCATTCAGAGAATATTTTAATCTTCATGACATCATTATTAGAACCTTGTTAATGAAGTTGCATGTTTTTTTGTCAATGTCAACATCTGACAATATTGCCATAGATTTGAAGAATTGATTGTTGTATGTACAATTTCTTGCCTTCCACCATGAGGAATAACATGCAAGATATGTCTGAAATCACCTCCAAGAACAATGACCTTCCCACAGAATGGTTGTTCGAAACTTTTTGGATTTGAAAAACGAAGGATGTCTCTCAATTTTCTATCTAAAGCTTCAAAGAAGAATCTATGAACCATTGGTACTTCATCCCAAATGATTAGTTTAACTCTTGATAGCAACTCAGCTTGAGCCGAATTGTGCTTCATGTTGCAAGTGGAATATTCATTGATATCAATTGGTATGCATAACCGGGAATGAGCAGTTCTCCCCCTTATAATAATAACGAAGCAATTCCACTTGAAGAAACGTTAAGAACAATCTCTCACTACAAGAAAATGGGTAGATACCGATGGTTTATCTGAGGCGGTTTGAACTAAACCGCCTCCAAAAATCATATAGAGACGATTTTTGAAGGCGCATGAACAAACCGCCTTAATATTGAATAAATTCTGAGGCGGATATGTTAAGACCGCCTCCAAATTAGACATCTAGAGGCGGTTGTAGAGGCATTTTTCAACTTAATTCACCTCAAAAGTAATGATATACTGAGGCGGATGTGTCAAACCGCCTCATTTTGATAAATTAGAGGCGATTCCAGAGGCGTTTTTTAGGTTATATATATTCATATAGAGGCGGTTTTGGAGGCGTTTTTTTTTTTTAAACATAAATATTTATAGTTCATGTTTATATTGTAATTATATATCTATTTCATATTTTTTTACCATATTTTTCTCATTTCATATTTATGTAATTGATAATTGACACAACATAATTATCTCGTGTTATTTAATCGTAAGTTTAGTTGCTTTGATTCAAAAGTTATTATGTTTAATTTATAAAATTAATTTTAAAAAAATAATTTTCCTTACAATTTAAGTTTAGAGCTATTTATCATTTGGGTGTAGTACTAAGGAAAATATTTTAACTAAATAAACTATTTGGAAGTTAAAAACAAAATTCTTTTTTAATGTAAAAAAACATTAAAAATGATATGTGAAAACAAATCATGGGCGCAAAATTAGTTATGGTAGATGTTGTGGCCGAAGCGGTTAAGCCGATGGTGCATGGTTTTGGGGGATGGCGACAACAATGATGTCGTATAGGTGGTGGGAGGGTGGTAGTGACGATGGTGGCGGCGATGATGATGTGGTGGTGGTGGCATGGTGGGATGGTAACGGTGACAATATGTTGGGGGCGACTGTGGCAAAGACAGTGGTATAGGTGTTGGCGATAAGATTGGTTGGGTTGGGAGCCTATCTTGTTGAAAAAAACTCATCCGAACGAGTTTATATTTACCTAGGTGGGATGAATCTTTATTAATATGCATTACAATATTTAAATCATTTGTAGATGAATATAATATAGTTTATGTAAATCTTTAATTTGTTGATATGCAATAGAGTTTTTAAATTTAACCCATGAATAATATATGTGTGTGTGTGTGTGTGTGAAGCAGATTTCATGCATATGAAGCAAATCAGCAAGCATAGATAACCAAACAAACAAAGAAACCAACAAAAGAAAAGCGATTCTTGGAAACTGGATTGATTTACATGAACTGAGCGAACAATGAACCCTTCCCGTCTTGCATATTCATCATAAAAATACTTAGCAGAATCTTCAATCAGTTTTTCGTGTATTGGAGGTTATTTGAATTTTGAATTTAATGTAATAGGAGCTGATTGTTATTTGTATTTAATAGGAGCTGATTGCGTTTTGTATTTAATAGGATTCGTAAAAAAATAAATTTTTTGATTATACTAAAATTTTTTTCCCAGGATTCGAACCCGCACCAACGTTGTTGAGCGTTTGCAAGTAAACCACCAATCCAACTTTAGATTGCAATATCGAGTTGCAATATTTGTATCTTATTTAAAACATTGTCCTTTCAAAAATTGTATCTCATTGGGCGGACTTGTTTTCCTCCTTGCGAAAATTGTTTTAAGTATATTGCAATAAGTATATTGTCGACTCTTAAACTTGAAAACGCTAAGTATATTCTCTTCTCTTTGAATTTTCCCTAACGCTTTTTGCTTAAGGACCTCAAGGCCGAGCTTGCCTTGCTCCCTCACTAAGGTCACCGTCGGTGGTGTAAAAATGACTGCTTTTCTTTAATGGTTTCTCTATTTGTGTTTGTGTTTATGCTTTGTTTTCATTTGGGCTTGCAGAAAGGTGGTGAACTAGGAATGGTGATTTCTTAGAAGCTGTAGACGACATTAAGGGAAGCTTACAAGAACTAGAAGCTCTAAGACTTGTACAAGCATCAGGTAATACCCAAATCCTAACCCCCAAAAATGGGGTTGTCTTGTTTTGTATCTATTAACATCACTGGTAATCAATCAATCTGCATTGTGAGATGTTAAAATGGACGGCTTTGGCAATTCTATGTTCCCCATGTTTTCTTCTTGTTCTTAATTTCGTTGGCTATTACGATGTTGTCGGTCTAGTTTGTTTCGTTTTTCTTCTGAAAGTATTCTTTTTTTTCTTGTTATATTTTCTGATTCTTGGTGCTTTCGGTTCTTCTTTGTTTTTGGTTCCAACAATAACAGAAAATGTATGTTCGATGTTTTCTTTATGGGACTGTTTTCTGCTGCCAATTTATGTCTCTCTTTTTCTTTTTCTTTTTCATTCAAGTTTTTCTTGGAGATTGATTGGTATAAGTATCAGTAGACAAATTTTTGAATGTGTAATTTTTTTGATTTTCTGTGTGTTTTTCTTTAAGTTTCTGAATTTTACTGTCACAGTTTCTGCATGTTTGTTCAGATTGTGCCTTCACTTTGTATCTATATATTGTGCTTTGCTATGGTGTTTTGGTAGTTGCTGATCACCTGCGTCTAATTTTTTTTAAATGAGACTTACATTATCAAATGGTGAGTTGTATTTCCTTTTCATATTGTTATACCTTCCATGGGACAGTTTCGTGTCCTTTTAAAAACTATTGTGAAAATTTCAGGGATGAGCTTTATATAAAAAATTGTATAAAAACTCATCCTTGAATATTTGACTCCCAATTTGGTACTCTAAAGAGTTTAGTTACAATGGTCTCTATTTTTTTGTAGACATAGTAGCTAATTCAATTGGGTTTAACCATCATTCTGCATTGAATCGAACACTTCAAATTGGCCGCATAATCTCAAGCCAATAAGGTTGGTTTTTTTTCTTCTTCTTTTCTATTTGATGTTTTAAACCATAGCAATGTCAGTTAATAGCTTAGCCCAGAAAACATTTAATTCATTGGATTTTTGAGTGCATGGTATAAAGTTTATTCGGTTATTTTTAATATATATGTTTACCTCATTAGTGTAGAGCTTGAACAACCCTTTGATAATTGCATGCATCTTTGATCTATGTGAACCCCTTCTTTAGCATTCATTTACAAGTCACAACCTTATCCCTTCTGATAAGCTTTTACATTTTGGTGACTTAGGCTGTGTTTGTTCATTTCATCTGGTACCAATTTGAGTAGCTGAACCAGTGAATGCTAAGCTGGCTTAGCATGTTCTCTTTTACACTACCCAAGTGTTGCTCAAACAAATTATTTTTTTCTTAAAGAAAAAGAGTTTTTATGATGAATGTTGAGACAAAGTCTTAAATTTATATACTATAATGTGATTGATCTATAGCCATTCCTTATAGATCAAATTGCATGCATCTTTGATCTAAATGCATGCATCTCAAATTGTTTTGGTACTTGCTGAACACAAGAAAGTGGTGGTGCTATGGAGTGAAGAGAAATCAACCTGTTGCTGATGGCGGCTCACTATTGAATGGTTTTTTAGGACATCTTGCATGTAACACTAATGTATTTCCAATATATTTTGATAGGTGGCCTAATGTACTTCCCTCGTATAAGACTACTGCTTGGGAGACCATTCAGGTATAACTGTTCTCTGATTTTCCTTTACTAAGCTTAAATTATTGTGGAGCGATTATGCATATTTTTTGTATTACAGAAAAAGTTTCAGCTCCATCATGATGACCACTATGAATATTGTATGGCAAATATGGGAAAAAAATGGAAGGACAATAGGTGGAGGTTATGCTCCTATTATTATAACAAAAATGCAAGTTTTGATCAAAACTTGGAAAACTATCCTGAAGGTTTGACTCGAGAACAATGGGCTGGTTTTTTGGCCTATAAGTTAAGGGATAAAGCCAAGGTAATGACATAAGCTTGCGTTTTTTTTAATTTGGTTTAATTGACCTAATATCAAGAATGTTTTGCTGGACAATGCAGAAATACAGTGAGATAAACACCAGAAATAGAGCAAAACAAACGATTATGCATACCCTTGGATCAAAAAGCATTGCAAGTTTAAAATATGACCTGGTATTATGTTAATTACAATCTTTTTCTATCTATCTCTGATCTGCTATGAATTTAACTAACATTTAGTATACTGACATTGCTTTAGGAAAAAAAATATGGACGCAAGTTTAGTAGGGGGAGATGTACGCCATTTCACACATAAAAAGGGATGGCAGCTTTGTCCATGAGGAAGCTAGAACCAAGAATGTATGTATTTTCTTTGTGAATGAGGAAGCTCTACAATTTGTTTTGATTACATGTTTGATGTTGTATTGTAGGACCAATTACTAGCAGAGATGGAGGAAACATCTTCTGAAGATGAAGCCTATGAACGTGTCTTTGGTAAGGAGCACCCTGGATGCGTTAGAAGAATGGGGTTCGGGGTGGTTCCAACACAAATTCGTAAGCGTTCTCGCGATTCTGCATCATCTTCTAATGCTGGTCCTTCGCAAGAGGAGTATGATTCTCTCAAAGAGGAACTCGACACTTTGAAATGGAAAATGGGAGAACTGGATACCTTGAAAGCACAAATGGCATCAATTATGCAACAAATTGGTGCTTAACAAAATTGTCGTATAAATGAGGTAAATCTTGGGTCATAATCAAATAGATACTTTGTAATTAGAGTAGGTTCACTCTTTGTTGGCTATTCATTGACGCCATTTAAGTTTTTTTGTATTAAACGTTATTTGCATATATCTTTGTTTCATATCGTTGCTCTGGAATGGTGACTGCTTTTGTTGTTGATAAATTTGGGATGTCGATATGGTTATATATTGTAGGGATTATAAGTCATGTATATCACTTGATTAGAGAACATGGGCTTTGTTTTGGGAATCTCATTTTGGCAATATTACTTTATTTGGGATCTTGGTTGGACACTTGCTGCATTCTATG